TATGGATTAGTAGTATATGTTTTATTACTATATGTTTTATCAAGCGTGAATAATAGTTTGAAAAACTAATATATTTCTGAAAAGCTTTTAGCACTAGGTACAATAGTGCCTATGTGTTAAGTAGAAATACTGGGAACTGTCAATATTTCATTTTTTAGTATGAGCCAGGTGTGAAGTTTTTGAATATTTTTGCATGTAGATTAATTACTTTGAAAGGTTTTCGGGCGCGTGAAAAATATTGTAAGCCATATTTCCTTTGTGCATTCTTGTATGTGTACTGCCAACAATATGTATATTTTAAATAGTAATACTTACTAACTTTATAGCATAGGCACTGGAAGTGAACTAAGTATCAGTCGGTAGATATCTTTAGTAATGAAGATACAGTGAGGGGTGCCGACCGGCATCGCTGCGGAAATGGCTGAATGGCTCTGACAGCTAGCTAAGTAAACCAGCCTCGTAGCTGAAATATTAAATCAAATCGAACTCGATTCTTGCCTATTATTTTAGTGATGAAGTTAGTCATGTGATGACGGGAGATAAAAATATACTTATTTTGTCACTACTTATACATTTTCCACAGGTATCGTAAAATAAGGATTAATAGATAAGGGACAGCGCACTCTGATATACATCCTTGAGCTTTTTAAACTACGAAATCAAACACTTCACCAAACACAACACCAAATTCTGCCAATCTTGGAGATTATGTCCAGCCCTTTTATGTAGGTAGAGGATACCCATAGTCCAACAGTGGGTAGTTACGGGCTCTTGATTGGTATAAGATAAGATAATGTTTAAAAATAAAGTTTCTATTCCACCCATCTCCTACTTTCATCGAAGTAGGTTAGGGTCGTCGCAGTCTTAAACAGAAGCACTTGAACGGCTGTAGGTACTTGCGTCGAGTACTACTATCTGTCTTCCACAATAGTCTGGAGAGTCGACATTATTCGTTACTCTTATTGTTTGATTTTTGACCTTTCGAATATGTATAATAACCGCTTAATATTATAGGTTTGTGGAGAAAACTGAGACTGAGTTCTTGATATGTAATTTTGTCTACAGATTTTGATTAACTCATCGAGTACCGTATTTATAGAGACAATTAAAGAACAATAGGTTGCGGTCACCGGTGACCGCTTGGTGTTTGACAGTTAAAATCATGTACCAGCTATGGGAGGTATTTAACTAACTTTTTTACTTTAACAGAGGTGTACGAAAGGGAGAATGGTAATTAATTAATTCATTCAATCAAATAAACAAACAATCAGTTAGATAAACAAAAATTTCAGTACTTTTATAATGAATTAAACAATAACATCCTGTTTTGTTTCCAAAAAAATATATATCATTTTAACGTTCTTTCTACGTATATCTTGCACCAAACGACGTCATGTGATATTTAAAATAAATATATGTACAGTCACATCGTAAGAATTTATACATTCTTATTACTTATTATTAATTATCATTCTGTAATATATTACAGAAAAAACAGAACGATACGAGTCCAAGATTCTTAATTAGTATACCAGGAAGACAAAAAAAGATAAAATATTCTACATAGGAGTCCCATCCTTCCCTACTCATATCAAGAAGGAATATTAATCAACTTTCAATGTTTTTCTGAGTAGCTTGTGCTATTTTCAATCTAAGATTAATTACCGTTTCCTACCATGTTCATGCATAATATACTTATCGGCGTACATTATCGTAATTTTCTTGTAATACTAAGTTCATTGTGCATATGTTAATACATAGTATATCAACTGAGAAAATATTGCCAATATATTGAAATGCTCACAAAATATTCTTATTTTTAGCTGAAACCCTGAAACCAAATATTTGCGGCGATCTAGTTTCGGCCGCATGTAATTGATATATTGAAACTACTTTCGGTTGAAACTACACCGAGGATTGGTTTTAGATTTTAATGAAAACCCACTTTAAAAAAATGCCAATTTTATATTGTTATGCAGTTAGTTAGATCGATTTTGGTTTTCAAATTAACTACGTGTTAATTTTATTATTACTATAAATTCTACTCTCGTTAATTCGTAATTCGAGGGCCTCTTAAAATATTTCAACTTACTGAATGTTCGAATTATCAAATGGTCCGAAATTTGAACTTGCTTCAGAATTACCTCTGAAAATTCTAAGATCTTTTTCGAATTTCGAATTACTGAAATTTTGACGCCGATAAGTTCGAATTAATGAGCCATATGGTTACGTAGCAATATTTTTTTCGTTTGATTATACATTTTAAGCACTTGGTAATAGTGCTTAAAATGTATTGATTTAGTTCAAAATATCAAGAGACCTCGTAATAACTTCGAATTATAGAGAGCTTCGAATTATCAAAGGTTTGTATGCACGAGTGTCGACTCTAGTTCATTCTTCAATATTTCTCTCAATTACCCTTTAAATGGTTCTCTAACAAGATAGGTTGATACATTACTCAGTATCAAGTCCGCTTTTCTTAGAACATGTTAAATAGGCTATAAATAGACCTGGGAGGTAGCTAGGTGGTCTAGCCACGTCTTTTGTTATGCTTTCAACACAGTAATTCTTAATTGATTCATACAGGCGTGAAGAATAAACGCACGCTCTGAAAGCTCTCCTTTGTTATTGAAATATGATTATATTTCAGGAGAAAATATTAGGTATTCTTATTATTACGTACTTATCAGATATTATATTACTTTAGAAGACGGATAAATTTTATTAAAACTGAGATATTTACAACATGAGAAAAGAATAAAATAAATGAATATATACAACTTATGATACCATATAACGAAAAGATAAAAATAAAATAAAACTATAAATAACTATATACAGAAAGCATCAAAAAATTCATCCGTATCGACGTCAGTAGGGAACGTATGACAATATATAGGCTCTATTTTTATAATAACAATCGTGAGATATAATAAATTATGTAAAAATTACGAGTTCTGCACGTAAATATTATGAGGAAAACTCTTTTAGTTTGGAAATACAGGACTCTTCCTCATGACTAGTGTGCGAGGACGCGGCACAGCTTTTCTTTTTATTTTTACTTAATATATAGGTCATATATATTAACTAGTTACATGTCCCATCTAATTAGTAGATACCTATAAATTAACTGATGAAATGTTAGCTGAATATCTGCCTTAACCGTTTCTACAATTAAAGACGACGATTCCGAGTTTTTCGTCAAATGTCGTGTAACTCAAACACGTTTAGGAAATCGGTAAAGCCAATAATACTTTGTTTAACTCGAAAATTTAGAACCAGGTGTTACAATACTCCGTCGTGGTTACGACTGCTGAAATATTATGAACATTAAACAAATATGAGTATTGGTACGTCCATTACTAAACATATAGGACCAACAAATAATTACTTAAAATATTTTCTCCCCTTTCCGTTGACACCTTGTAAAGATTGTATCACAGAAAGATACTTTCCATGTAAGCAAGTAAATGTTTGGTAATTAAAGTTTACCATTAACATAAAACATAATCACCTCGGCTTTATTACTTGTAGATACAGCAATCGCCGGCGACCTACTTACAATTAATGCATTTCACATTTGACACCATAGGGTTGGCCAGAAAAAGTAAACATAGGGCTGATATTACAAATATCAGTTAATTCTTAACTGTATATTAATTGTCATTTTTTAGTATGGAGGTCTTATATTGTCAAATATTCAAAGTCATTCCTCAGTTACAATTATCTAACGTTGGAAAAATATGCCCGTAACCAAATATATTTGTAAGATACACTGACAATAACAGCTTTATTGTATTTTATATTTCAAAGTTTCTAAGTGTTAGATTTGTCGTTTATTTTACAAAAATGTTTTAAAAGGAAAGCCGATTGAAAATTAAAAAGTTTTAAGAAATAGGGTAAGTTTGCACAAACCTTTAGAATCCCTACAAGTAGTGATGCTAATATTCTGTATCACGGACGGCCACAAAGAATTCATAGAGCCGCCTCCCTTTGTGGCGAGCCTTACAAAAGATCTTCTAACAAAAGGAGAGAACGTGCTTATGGCTAAGGTATGTTTAAAAGCCAAGAGGCTTTCAGAGAATAACTTCAATTTATGTTATACTTTACCCGTATCTTATTCATATGAAAAATTAAATATTAACAAATATTTATCGTCAGCATTAAATTCGGCAACGATTTAAAGTAGAAAATACCTAGCAAATGCTAGGAATCACTTGTTATCGCAGCGGCCACCTGTTGAAAAGCGGAGCTCGGTTCTATAGGCTAATCTAACCACTTTCAAGACGTAACCATGATAGAACAGCTACCTACTTTACATTGTTTTATTTACCTACGCGAAAGTAAATAAATACCCTTTTAAAAGATTAACAACTTAAAAGCCTGCTTGTTTATTTTAAGGAGAGTAATTCTAAAAGAATAATTGAGTTTGTTTTTGTTCTGAATCTTAATTAACAAAAATGTTTTTATTTAAAAAATATACATATGTTTATTTGTATATTACTTTTGTTTTCTAAATAAAATAAAATAAACAAACGAACTTTAAAACATTTAAATAAATAAATAGGTAAAATAACTGGACAGATAAACGATGCGATAATAATCTTGATAAAGCAAGCATGAGTACACTCGTTAGCACGGACATGATAACCGTCATCCAAAACCGGCGGGTAATTTTCAATTTGAACGTATAACTACGAACGTTCGAATGGCGGGACCCTCAAAAGTTTTCGAAATCGACTCTATTCCTACCAGCACAGGAATTGTAATTGAAAAGGATAACACGAGATGGACTGCACACGCTTATACTTAGTTGTTCCATAAGGGATTAAGTAGTCGTTGGCTATAGTGAAGTTAGGGCGTTTTGTTCATGGTGATAAGAAGTTTTGATGTGGGCGGGGTATCGATCGGCGCCGAGTGAGTGCGCGACCACGGCTCCTGGCGGTAAACAGAAAGCACGCCGTCAGCGGAGAGCACTATCAGTCGAGCGCTGACGCGAGATGCACACGCTCAACGTGTTGTTGCTGGCGGCCGCCGCGGCGTGTGCTGTACCTCGCCCTCTGGGTAAGTTCATCACAGAAACATCACATAAACTCACACTAAACACACTTGCAAACTATATTTACAGCAATATTTTGTGCCGCTGATAACAACTTCCGTAATTGCGAATATGTTGTGCTTCGCGTCAGTGTTTAAGTAATTATGCTTTTTGAAGTAAATAGTGGTAATCTGTCGTTTTCCCGTAGACACCTGTTAGATTTAAGTATATTCAAACTAAACTTTGTGTAATTTCCGAGTGTATTAAGTATTTTAAACGCAACTTGTAGTTACCGTCGCTCGTAATTTTGAAGTTTGAACCGGCTAAAGTTTATGTGCTAACAAGGATGACAGCTAGTGGCAAGCAAGCTTCTGATTGTGCTCAAATTAATGGCTAACATTTGATTACATGGTGTAGTGCTCAATCCCCTCGCTAAATTCGGCAAACGTTTGCACACACCTCGTGCAGGTTTTTGGAAACGTTGCTAATAGTTAGTAGTTAGTGAAATGATCATCTAATATTTTGTTTGAATGTGTTTCATGTCCTATTATTGTATGTGTTAATAAACGAATATTGTTCGTGATGCTCGTTTATTTTACAAGCGTAGATTGCGAGGACATTGTGACGTGCGGTTTATCTGTTAGTGAGTTTTACTTACGTCAATATTACACAGAAGCCGTCCCAACTTCCTAGCCGTAGTATTTGTGTTAGATATTTGTTGAATTTGTTAGATTTTTTGGTATTGTTTGTATTTTTATTTTATACGTTGTATTTTTATTGTTTGGATTTTATTTTCACGATGTTTCGTTACTATGTGTACGAAGCAGCGATGATTAGTGCGATGCCCAATTGGTATATACATAACCAATATTGTATATCCAATTGACTATTACTGAACCCATATGCTATCCGAAAACTTCCATCTGGTATAATGAAGATGTGTAAAACAAATAAAAACGTCTTCATTTCGAAAAGAAAATAACGAAAGGATATTTTGATAGATATTACCTTTATCGAAACAGATGTAAATATACTTTTTTTAAACTTGCAGTGAAATAAATACCTAATGCAAGCTGAAATAATGAGAAAAAAACAAGTTAAACGTCTCTATAACTTTGACTGAATTTATATTTAACAAAAACTGCGATTCCATAAAAACATATTTATATAATTTCTTATTTGAATTGTTTCAGAATATTTTCTGAACATTCAAATTATTAAATTGCAATCTTGAGTACGCAAAGAAGCTTTGCAAAATCGCTCGTTGCTAATTAGTAACCCTTTTCATCAAAAACATATTGCAACGAGCAATTTCTACGTAGTCATAACACTAAAGAATATTATAATACCTTGAAAGCTTCTGTAAGAGAAACCTGAATGAAATATGAATTTATAAATTATCATGGGCTCAATAACTAAAGATAAAATATTTAAGTGATAATAATTAAATATATTCTAACTTGTATGCAGAATTAAAAAATAAAGGATCAAAATATTTGCGTGACACGTTAAAATAAAATATAAGTACAATAAAATAAAGCAAAGCCTACACTAACAAACGATTGCCGGGTAAATTCCTGGGTTGTGCCCAAGCGATGTTATTTATCTTCTTTTATCTGATTACTAATGACTAGCGGAGTAAGATGTGCAATATACAAAGCTAAAATATCACCTCATTGCATAAACCTTCTAAATCAATACCCATTATTGTTTTTACTACTGAATACCTACCGTCGGTCGGGTAAAACTGAGAGTTCATATTAACACTACACGTAAAAATTACTCATAATTCCATAAAATACAAATATAAATCAAGAAACATAAATTATCAGATTACCACAAACAAAAGTTGGTCACCAAAAAAAAGAAATCAAAAACATAAACAGAACAAAACAAACATTTCTGAAAATAAGCGAAAAATAATAATTCATTTACTGATTCTCAGAAGCAACGTAAATAGAAAAAAGTAGGTGTCATTTACACCAATCCCTTCGGGGTGAAACGGATGCCATGTTACGTTATGTCTATCTAATTTAGACGTTCTCGCATATAAATAAAAATATAAAATCTCTGGAAATCTGTAGCCCGTAATCACGTACTAAAATCAAAATCGTGTCATGCAAATTTCCTCATAAAGAAGAAGGTAGAAGTAGCAAAACTTCTGGAAACAATAATTAGCCGTGTAACAGACATTTACGTCGGCTGATTAGCTTAATGCAAGAGATGGGACAGCTCTCTCCATGCAGTTGTATAAGTAGATAGGTCAGCAGCAGCACACCGCGCTTATTACTGTGATTGGCACAAATGGAACCGCTTTCCTACTGGGATAAATTACCAGTAAATACAATTTGAGATCTGCGAAACGTTTTTTCGTGTTAAAGTGGTTTCCTCCCGCCTCTAACTTTGTTACGCGAAATATATAAGTACTACATATTGCGGCTCTGACCTTATACCCACTTAGGTACCTATGCTTTCCTAATAAAGGAAAGTTCATGTAATTATAGAAGAATCTAATAATATTACGTTGGACCCTAATATTTGCTATGTGACGGAGATTTATTATCATGTACGTTTATGTAAGCACATATTATGTACAGCCGGTCCGGAATTAATCAAGTAAATTCTAATATGGAGAGTGATATTGTATGTATATTGGTGTAATATATTGAGCGCTAAGATCTCGTTGAGAGAAGAGCGGTCTCTCATTTTACCCTGGTACACTTCCATTCCCCGAAAAATCCAAATCTATACCTTATATCCTAAAACTTCTACTTGTTTTATTATTTTTTAATAAAATCGTTACTTTTTCTATTTTTATTTGACTTCTGTTCTTTCTTCTCTTTTTAGCTTTATACTCTTAATATCATCACCTCATCTTTGGTCTACCTGTTATTTTTACTTCTAAATATTAAGGCACACATCTTGTAAATAAATAATACATCTTTTTGTAAATAACAAAATCATAAGTACAGAAGTTTATAATCTTAGGTGTTGTAACTGTATACAATACTTTTTATTTTAAAATATTGTATGAGCTAGTGATGTGTGAAGATTTTTAAAAAGCACAAAACGCGTGTTATTCTTTGATATTGTCTACCTTCAATATTGTGGTGCCTACGGCCGACGAGGCAGTCCTTGTCGAGCCTAGTCATCCTCTTAGTCGTGAGGTTGTCGCAAAATTCAAGAAAGAGATAAGAAAAAGATTAATTTTATAAATAGGTATAGTAGGTTCAGTCGTAGGTAAAATACGTAGGTATGTATCCGACGGCAGGTTGTATTTTTAAGGTTACTAAAGAAAACTAAGCTTAGTGTTTTCACAAAGCATTCTTTAGTGTTTCACAGTTCCCATAAATATTTTCTAAACATTATTTGTACAAGAAAATATCGGAAAATTAAAAGCAAATTAACTAAAACAGCTTTACATAGTTCAACGAGTTTGTTATTTTTTTCTGGAATACCTACTCTAATGAAGTCGGAATCAAAATTAAAAAGAACTCATAAACTTGATTTTTTATGTAGCAATGGTTCATATAAAAGCAGTAGAAATAGAAACAAATGTTTATTGAATTTACAAGCAATGCAAAACAAGTCGACTGGGAAATATCAAATACATTTCTCCTGAACACTAACTTCATAACTTCTTCGCCAGCTCAAAGATTGCAACCGCTCACTTTTATATCTGCAGATTTAACAGTTATACTCCGCTACTTATCTGGGCTAAGTCGAACTTGCTGAGGCTAGCGGTTCTTTCAATATATCAGCAATGTTTCTAAAATAAATTCAATTTTCACAAAAGATTTAAAGATTTTGGACTTCTCGATACTTTGTTTCTACTTTCCATATTCAAAATGTCTGTATATCTTTTGATAGATTATACAAAAATTAAATTAATAATCCAGATAATCTGATCTTAAAATGTGGAATGCATACCGTAAATGACCAAAATTCTCCTTGCTGCCTCGTTGCCTTTATTTATAACAATTACACTATCAGAGCTGTGAGTGAATTTATTTTGTCATATATCATATTCGTTTTACATACTAAATATACGTCATTTTTTATCCATCAGCCCAAGTAATAGAGTTACATCGGTAAATCCGATGCGATGATTGAATTTTGTTAAATGGCCGGCAAAGCCTACCAGTGGGTGGCGCGGGCTATTTCATATTATATAACTTCCATACAAAAAGCTATACCGACAAACCTGTCGGCTTAAGTTAGCACTTAAGTGGGGTTGCAAACTTAAACAGCATTTAAGTGATACCACTGACATCAATAAGTCTGAATACCAAGCGACAGCCTCCCATTTCCCATGTTACACACAATTGAGTTAATACAATTTTCATAGAAAGACAATGTCAATGGATACCACAATAGAACGAACGTGCTTGACAGTGTATGTGAGCCAATACAATGGACTTAGGGAGCTGGCTAATGCATTTACTGGAAAACAAAGCCGTGTATAACAATTGTGTTGGTTTGAATCTGAGCTAAGTAAATAAACGTCGAGGCACAAAAAGATTAAGCCTAACAACCCTGTTCCATGTCGATTGCTGTTGTTTCCTACCCATCCTGATTTACCTATAGACTTTAATAAAATATGGTTAGACTTGGAACTGTTTCTGTACCTAAAGAAATCAATATTATGTGATGTATTTGAATAAAATAAAACACTTAATATTTGTATTTATTTGCCTTAACAGCTACATTTCATTTGTCCATTTACTATTATCAGTTTACTAGTTATAACCTAGGTATAGTTATAGAATATTTTGACGTAGACGTAACCAGGCATTTATGGAAAAAATCCGGTGAACGGAAACAATCCGGTTGTCATGTTGAAACAGCTGACAGCGCGACAACTGTGGTTGTACAGTGTTGTTATGTGCAAATCCTATTTCCAGATTTTTATATCTACAAACTGAGTTTTAATCTATGCTGTATAAGTCCCAGTAGTCGTAAGCATTATTAAAATGGACGTATAGTCGGCGAAATCTGAACACGACTGTATTTCCTCAGGGAGATGACACCGTAATGTTATGCAAGTAGCATTCTAAAGTGAGCTGCTATGAATTTGGAGAATTTAAAGTGACCTGCTTACTAGGCTTCCAGTTGATATTTGTGACAGAATGTGTCATACAAGAGGTGTCTTCATATAGTTTAAGCTCGGGGTGAATTCTATTGTGGAATGGATAAAATATTTTGTCTCCTCATCCTGGTAATGGAACAAATTCTTCACAGTTTTGAACAAAATTTGCGAAGTGACATTATACTAAAAATAGTTTTAGGCCTTACCTAACGAAGAATGTAAACGTTATGAGAATACTTTTAGTAGTACATTCCTCAATGAGTACATTTACCTACCATTACTATATCAACACTTTCTTGGGACACAATCAAGTACATATTTGCAATTGACTAAGTAAGACACTGAAACCTTAGCTTGAGATTACTGTTCTATATGTAAACCAATTTGAAATGGTTCGTGTGCGAAAAAAATATTTAAGAAGAGATCTCAGTCATCTTTGGAACCATGGATTTTTTTAGTATTAACGTAAAAGAGATTGGTATTGACGTAAAAAGAGTAATTTAAAGATAAACAAAGAAATAAGGGATAAAATCAACAGCTAGTACGTGCCCTAAAAGGTAAGTGTAGTAAGTAAGTTAGATAAATACACAATTTTCTTAATACTGGTTACGTCATGTCTTTAGTAGTCGAATCCCATAGTATCGTGTCGCTCTATAGAACAAGCGAGAGCAATTAATTACAATAAAAGTATAATTAGTACATAATATGTATTCCAACCACAAATGTGGTGTTTTTCTCTTACCACATTTCCCGGACACTACGATGGGATTCAACTTATAGTAAATAGTTTTAGTAATTAGGTTAATTGATGTTTACCGAGCCAGCCTACAATACCGCTGCAGCGATTGATCTTCAATATTAATCGCTGGCTCGAATGTACTATGTCTATTGTGTTAATGTGTGTTCAATCGTGTGGAATTATTTAGTTGCACCAAGTGTACACGTGGCGTGCCTATCAGTATCGGCATACTCGTGTGCGGAGTACTTATCGTAAAGATTTCTAGGCCCGTCAGCTGCGCCAGCTCTGTCGCAGCTGCCGCACCGCATAGGTTGGCAGCCGCGGCCTTTCCGCAGCGACTACATCCTGCCTCGTATGCTGTTACCCAACCCATTACTTCGATATGAAGAAACCCCTCGCGCTGTCGTCCCTACCGAACAAGATTGGCTGAGTAAGGTAAGTACCCAAACGGGCAAGTATGGCTAGAAAAATGCACAAAGGGTCCCTTTTAGTGTTCGGTAGGCTAGGGGAAGATGAGTCAAATCATTGAAATAAAAACTTTGTGATGCTCTTGACGAGTAAAACATAAACAGTTTTATCACTAGCGGCCGTTTATCACATGACGTCATTAGTGACCAATGGGGATAGGTGACTGCATCACACGCTACATATAATCACAGCTCATTGTAGTTAGGTCAGTAACTATTACTCAACGCAGTGACTCCAGTGTTCATTGTTATCATTTTACACGACAGTCAAACCGTATCGCTGAACAAGCTTAGGGTCGTGCCTGGCGCACACATAGACTTTATTTAGTTAGAGTTACTGTTTCAAGAAACTTCCTAAGTACCTACATGATGTCATATCAGAAGCTCTCATATTTATAGTTGCAAAAATAGAAGTAATAACAAATCATTCCTTGCAACTACTGAATTCGTTTCTACTAAGACTAGTTTGTGAAAGTTAATACTTTAACAACAAAAGGATAACCCATCCTTGGGAAAATGGGGTCACAAAATTACGCCAATGTACGATAACATATCAATCATCAAAATGCATAAGAACAGTATTTAAATGTGTGAATTCTCTGTAGTAATTCAAGTACTAGATAAATATTACTGGTGTTGAAACTACCGCAAAACCAAAAGCTTCGAAACATTTCACTAAGTGGCACTTTCTGAAGATCTCACTTCATTCTAGACGAAAACTTGACAGTAAAAGTTATTTTGAAGTTCCATTGCAGCATTTCAGAACGGATTTCAATTGACGCCACAGACTATTAAGAAATAAAAAACGTAGATCTCATGTCCAGGACTAGAGTTATCTTATTATTACCTCTAGCAACTTGGTTACATGAAATGATAAATTAATAAAATTTTTGTAATACAACCACAATAAGCACGCAAAACATTGGTATTTAGTTAACAAAACACCACTACATAACTGTAGAGTTACAATCTAGGAGCTCACCGTCAAATGCAATAAACAAATAACTTACCAAAACTATTCAGGTCAAATATAATTCAATTTATTGTAAGCAAGTTAAGAGACAGAGTTGTAAAACAATAAACACAGAAACTCCAACGTTTCACTAGGGACGTAAATTAGCATAACATATTCGTTGGGCCATGCAATCTGACCTCCCTTGTCTTTCCGGATCACGTCAGTGTAGTCAAGGAATTATTCAGCTAGATTTACCTTCAGTATTGGAATTTAGTGACTGGTAACACAATGTCACTACATGTGGAGGCTGAGGGTGCAGGGGCCCACTGTCTTATGATTGACACCTGAGGTCAGCTAGCGCTTATTTATAAATGAAGATTTTAAGTAGAATGAATTGTTAATTGCCTATTCGACAGAACTGGGGCACAGTTTACAGCAATAGAAATAGAGTAAAAGTGTCAAGGATGCAAAAGTGATCATGTGTAACTACATAACCTAACTCATAACGTACATCAGATCGAGTTAATAAAACTTTTTCCATTTCAGCCAAGTTTCAAAAAACACAGGCACCCGTAACCATGAACTATGTGAATATTGGAGAAAGTAACACGAAAAGGCATTAGAAAGTATAACCTCATCGAGGCCCTACGGCAAACATTTCCAATTAATTCACAAAGTTAGTGCAACAGCGTAGTTCACAAGCTTTTAGCCAGTATATAGAGCTAGGTCGTTGGATCAGCGTCCTAATACAGTACTAATGCAAAGATAATCTCATTTTAATAGCATCACTGAGCACTCTATCGCTGCGTAACATTATCTCGTACATCTCCATACGTCCCATTGACAGTGCGAAGCCCCACCTCCTCCACATGGAGCGGGTTGCCAGAAAGATGAGCAGTTAAAATATCACGTACAAGGGTTACGTGAACGAATCAAATCATTCTTGCATAGAATCCAGTTCGAAACGAGAGATGAAATTTTGTCACCTTTTGAATATATTTATGTTAGACAGAATACGATTTCAAAAGAAAATAGGTTTTCCAGTTGTCTTTGTGGGATGCACATAATCACACAGAATTACATGTAGTTACAACAAAGTAAATTCAGTTTAATTTTATTTTCCAACTACTTCTTCACATATTTAATAAAATTAAATAGGTCTTCTTTTCGTAATCAAAAACATTTTCTTGATCTGATGTCCTTTTTTTAAGTGATAACACTGAAGATACTGAAAAAAGGAAAGCCTTTCTCAAGCAGGATATAATCTGTATCTGAAAGGATATTTGTCTACAGATAAAAAAGCATTTCTCTTTGGATGCGATAGTGCAGAATAATAAAAAAATATTATGATACGAAAAGGCCCTTGCTAGGGTACTTGCTAGAAACGATGACGATCGCATTATGAAAGGCACTTTATCGATAAATATTAAATGCAAGCGCTGTACCGTGAAGCCCCGAGGGCTATCGAGTATCGAAGCTCAATAATTGATTTAAAGACGTGCACTCATCTTTCATGATTCTCTGTGACGATAGCTGAGCCGAGCTTACACGATGATAGCTTACTATGACATGACAAAACGCGGCACTAGAGCGTGAACGCATAATAAATTGCAGCTCGCCTTTGAGAGAGAACGTGTCCAATTCATATCTGTTCTTTTATTGTAAAATGTATTTCTTCAAACTAAAACTTATTTGATGAAAAATTTTAAAAGAATCTTGCAATCGGTATTGTGTCTCTGCACTCGTGCGAAATGCTATTGAAGCTCATATTTTATTTATTTTCAGAATAAATATTGGCACTTTTATTTCGAATAAATTTGACTAGAAAAAGTAATAATCTCATTATGGTTTTGTAGAAATATCAAAATAAACCGAATGGTTTTCTAGATGACGTTGACGTTGAGTAATTAGTGTCGAGTCGTGTGTCGGTGTCAGGGCGTGTAAGATATATGTGCAAGCTGCTCATTGCGTCAGAGCACATCACGTCCCGACATGACACTCCAATATAAATCCTCCGTTAGTCTTCTTCGAGCGCCGCTTTAGCACTTAAAGTTGAACGTTCATTCGGAAAACTTTCATGTTTCTTCTCGTATTTTTCCAAGCGACACAGCGCTGCGCTTCCAAAGTACAGCCCTAACTTGTAACACTTTGTGCCTTCGTGTTTGTTTTGTACAAAAAGGGTCGTTAAATATTTTGAAACCATTTAATGTAGATATAATGCAATCACATTATTTACACCATAAGTATAATATCTGTAGCGCAGTAGGGTTTAAAAATATTTTTATTACTCAGGTCGGCTTCAGGGGTTCTGTTAGTATGTGAAGCTAGAATATTAGTTGTAAATGCTGAAATTATATGATGGCAACTCTTGACCTATATACATAAATATATACCTACGTACTCGATGTACTGTAAAAAGTTAGGTTATAAATGCACCCTAGTCCACGTAAAGGTGTAAAAATAATAATTAACTGGAGAAAATAGTGTCAAAATACATGAACATTAACACTGTGACTATACGGACTTCAGTTTTATTAAATTACTGTGCTTCGCTTCCACAATTTAATTCGTAATCACATAACCTATAAAGTGTGAACGTGATACAACCAACAACATAATGAAATTATTACTTAAACTGTGTCTGAGGTTCTTTCTAAAGCATATATTGAAGCTATATTTTATGCAATACCTATGCCAAAAAATCTCAATCGCATTTTTTTGTGTTGCATTAATTTCACTACACACGCATCACGTAGGGGCAAAAATTAAAATATATTGTGAAAGGCTTCCCGTTTCTAAAACATAATAATATTAATATTTCAATATCAGAAGTGCTAATGTGCCCAATTTCAAGATAGCAAAATTAACATTTTTATGTAAGCAAAAACTGCTACATACGTGCTACGAAGACTATTACATTAATATCCGTAGTAAACTGCTACGAGAGAGCTACGAAAATGTAATTTGTTATTTTATGTGTGCTATGCGGACGAGTTAATACAATGTTATATCTGTACGATTTTATTTTCGAGTTGTCTAGAATGTTTGTTATATTTTGCAAGATTTTGACATTATATGTCAATCGGAGTGGCACTTTGGCACATAACCTAAATATGTAAAGGTTACAATATGTCTTTCAATATTTCACTTTTGTTTCTATCCATTGAATGTCTGTGTGAGCTTGAGATAACATTGAACTACGATGTTTGTATATCAAAAGCAAATCATGTGTAAAATTCGTAAAAGCTTTGTGCTACGCGCGCTACGACGATCCATCAAACGCGTAGACGTGGCTACGACATTACTATTATTAAACCAGGTATTTTCGCGAGTTGTAAAAATTGCGTTTCAATCTCCTGAGTGACAGTTGCAAATGGATAAATTAAAAACAAAAGCATAAAACGTTGCGTCATTGTGTAAACAAATCTTTCAACTAAAATCAAAGTCTATAGTTACGAGTGTTGTTAAGTAATCGACTTCAAGGGAAAACAATTTTTGTAATGACTGCATTTAAAATAATGCACCCCTGGGACAGGTACCGTATGTTTCAATAGAATGCATAAAATACAACGTGCCGAGGGAAAATTGTTTCACCCAATAATTACGTACACGGTCACTGCAATAGGAGGCTCCAACCTCTTCATTAAATAATCATTATTTATCGCCACCTCAGCTATTAGCTTCTTATTGCTCAATAATTTCTTTATTTAGAATATGGTATAATAAAAAACCACAAAGGGGTTATAAAAATGGATATCTATGTAAATCCTTTAATATCAATAATTATTCTTGATGCAAACTCTGACCTTTCAATTAGAATTACTAAGAGAACTTTGAGAACGTAGCGCCCCAGCGTTAATTAACGATAGTCTTGGCTCAAGGCGCCGTTGATTATATACTGTTAAACAGCCAACTAATCTGTGATCGTGTTGACACTTGCAGAATGCACAGATTGCCCCACGGAGACGGAATTGCCTTACTAACGTAATCTAATTCAGTGTTGACAACAAACCGATCGGATGGAATTCAAATATCGTGAGTAAATGGATTGCTGTCCTACTGGACGCGCCCGGACCTTTTACAACGTCCTGTTCATGTAAATTCGTTTCACAAAGAATGTATTTGATATATTAAGGTTTTATTTTATACCAGCTACTTCCTTGGGCGCCTATTGATCGTAGCGTGATAATTTGTAGCCTATAGTTTTCCTTGATAAATGGACTATCCAACACAAAAATATTTTTTCATTAACCAGTAGTTCCTGAGATTAGTGCATTCAAACAAACAAAGAAACCAACTCTTCAACTTTATACATATAAGAGTATAAGATTCTTAAGCCTCAAAACCAGAGAAGCAAGACGGTTTTACACACCAAGGTCCTTGCTGCACAACATAATAGGCAATAACTTAGAGTTAGCTGAAGTAGAGTTTAAAAACGTGTACGGCATTCAGTTGGAAAGGAGGACAAACTTTGTTTCATAAATGTCCTTCGTGCATCAATTTATATATCGCTCAATTACTCCATTTGTAGCCACTTCTTACTGACTATAACTATTATCGAACTTGCCTTACAATCGACGGGATGACTGAGGTCACCAGTCAATATTTTGCAACATTTGCATGAACAGTAAACTAACTCGTTATTTAATTCCAAAGTTGGAATGTGTGTAACCCTGGTGTGATCATAAAAGTACTAGGATTTTAAGTGTCAGATCGCAGACGACATTGCGTTGCTCATAAACTCACGTACAACGATATCGGATTCCAATTTTCCTTCTAAGACATTGAAACCTGAAAAATCGAAGGTTCTGGTCGCAAATTACAATACAATATCGATTTCCAATGATACGCTGCAATTGTACTTCAAGTAATGACTGAAAAGTAGGACGCTTTGATTTTATCAAGTACCCTTAACCATAGGGCAGCCTTACATATCAATCACCAACATGAAGCCTTCAGCAATAGCCGTAATATGTCACTTAAACGTACTCATTACTGAAGGGAACCTCGAGGCCTGTACCATCAGCTATTGGCTATCGAGGAAGGCTGAATTAATTTAGTATTTATGAGTTTCGTGCATAACGAGTCAAGGAAATTTCAAGGAAAATTGTCTTAATATCGATACTAATAATGATTCAGAATGGTTTCGAGAATCCTAGATTGCAGATTAATTTACACATCGATATTCGTACTGTCCTCATCGTATGGTATATAATAATAATGATATATTATACAATAATACGTATATGTAGAATAAATTATAATAATACGTAGTAGATGTTTCTCCAGGAATAATGTTATGATTAGATAGGTTTCTAAGAAATAGGTTTCATATTTCGCGTAATATCTTAAGGAATTTCGCCGGTATAATTTCATCATTAGGAAAGGAATTTTACGTTTAATTTCTTTCAACACAGGAAATAGATCGCATCAACCAAATGGACGATGATGAAGAGTTAACCCCATTTGTAGAGGAATTTTCTCGATGGATGGCTCGGGATCCTTACGTTCCCTTAAAATATGGACAAGAAGCTGTTCGAGAACCTGCTGAACCTGCTTATGTGCCGGAGACCATGACGCCTACTCCAGAGGAGATACGCCCCGTGCCACCACCAAGGGAAATCGTGTCACCTGAACCTATCTCAGCACCTCAAGTGGAAGCCCGGAACCAAGTGTCGTCGACGGTGGCACCTGCAAAAACTGAAAATGAAGAAAATAAAAAGACGTTCGCACTGACACCTCTCGATAAGGAATACTACGAACCCGAAGAGAAAACGGATACACAAAGTAAGTTAAAATTTTCATCAAATAATGATTTCAGTCAGAATATTATATATGTAATGGTTTTATTAAGAACATTACGCGGAAACAATATAACATGGTCACAGATATAGCAGCTCGGAGTAGTGGCCTTGATAGACATAAACTACGAAGTATATTATCAGCACTGCTCCGGCAGACGCTCCAGCTTTTCCGCCTGATATAATCTGTTATACATTCATATTACGACGCTGACGGGAAATGGAGGAGATGGGCTGCTGTATCCGAGCCGTGGATTCCATAAAATATCTTCTGCTCTTAAATATCTAACAAACTTATTTATGGTTTTTCAATTTTTATCAGAGAATTTTTGTAACGGACGTTTTAAAGTGAACCACGGATTTGTCCCAGGCTCGCTCAATCTGCAGTTGGTAGATCCGATTCATGATATTTTAGTTGAAATAACAGAGAGCTCGATTTCTTTTTGTACGAGCGAGTGCGTTGATAGTGGTAACGCATAATTAGACACTGGAGAGCTCTGAAGGGGGTTTCAATATAATCCAAACTTAGTCGTATCGAGGTTTTAAGATTCATTTGATTGGTTGGTTGAAATTGTCCAGTCCGTTTTAGTTGCTTGAGAAAAATATGAACACTCCTTCTCATGAAGGATAGAGTTCGTGGGAAAGCAAAATTCAATGAAGCGTAAAATTGATGTGATGTTATTGTTATAGAATCGGATGGACCTCATGAAGGTGGTGAATCGCCAGCTCCGCAAGCGATGAGCTTGGTGGCGTTCCAGCCTCCACGTCCGATACGGCAGAACCCGAACCTGGGTAGAACGAAGAACCTGGTCGCTGAGAACTTGGACCGCCTTCGAGTTGGCGTGTAAGTAACACCATAATTTTTACTAACCATTTAAAATTTCCATTATAATATACATCTGCCTAATAAAATGTTTGACAGGTTTTAAGATTAAAAGTTATCTTACAATTAAAAGGTAATGATAATTATTAATTCGAAATTATATTAGCGACTTTGTGACTGAAGATGAATAACAATAATACATCAGTCATTTCGCTCGTTATGTACCGCCGGAGTAGGTAGGTACGTCTGTTATTACGGCGGTTTTAGCTCTAATTATGCGCGAAGGCTAGAGCAATATTAAGTTCGTTTATTACAGAGAGAGATGCAGGAAAATCATTTTGTATATTACGAGTTCTACAATCCGGCTTATATTTTGAAACAACAGTAAATATCATTGTTTCTTTTTTCTTCGTTTTAGACACGAAATGCGGAATACCGGGAAGTTTTAATTATTATAACAGACTCCGAGTCTTTTATTCTTTGTTTCGAGGAAATAATAATTTAACTAAACATGTTTTATTATTATTAAGTTGTATTTCCACGAACCGAAACGTTGAAGAACACCCTTGTTTTGAAACAGCTCTTGAAAAACAAAAAAGCGTTATGAGCTCTTACACTGTACCCTCAAGGTACTATTTTACAAATTATTTAAAATTAATTTAAAGTGCCACAATGAGATTTTATTAGTAATTTATTTATTACGTGACCGGTTAAAGATAAAAACTAAAGTAAACCAATAAATAAATTTTAACGGCCGACAAACACGTAGTCTCTTAAGGATGTTTTCCACTTTCAAAGCAACTAAGTGCTCGCCTAGACAGCATAACACGTAATAGCACTTAAACGTGGACAACAGGAGGTAAAACACTTTAGCGACAGTCGAGCAGTTAGAACTGGGTAGTTACTGGACTATTGACCTTCGGCTTTGCAAACTACTCGTATGTAACATAAGATGCCAACGTGTCAGTTCGACATGTAAAACAAGGGTTGGGATTCTTTTTGATAATATAATTCATGTGAAATAAAAATATGATAAATCATATAATTTTCAATCTTGAATTCTTATTTACCGATAAGAGACCCTTTCAATAATAGCTTAGCATTAGTTAGAAAGTTTCAAAAATCACAATCGTTAATATAATATTTAGTAAATCCCGAGACAGCCGAGGTTATTGCCCGTCTACAAGTGCATAGAACTCGTCGTCCTCTTGGGTCACCAGTCTGTCCCCCAACCTCTGAGGTACCTAAACCACAGTGGTTAAGAAAAATATTAAATAGAAATAGTATTCAAAACGTGGCACAGAGTAATCATCGCCGCTACTTCAAAGCAACGTGAAAACTACTGTTACCAGTGAACGCCATTCGCGTATTCCCGAGTGACGTTTACAAATGAAACACCTTTTTAATCGAACATATTTTCCAAAGAAGTGTTAATAGTTCACGGAAAATATTGAAAATGGAGAAATAATTATAAAAATGTTTACTCCACTGAGAGTTCTTTGAGGCAATCCGTATCGTTTAGGTTTTATGTTATTAGATTTGCTCGATGGGCTATTTTTGTAGTTCAGACTTTTAGCCAAACGCTTATATCTCTATATTATGTATGTTGATATTGTAATGTTATATAATTATTCTATTATATGGATATGTAATATATTTACCGACTTCATTTACAAAGAATATTTATTTGTATCTGTGTATATTTGTACCCCGTTGCGTCATTGCTACCTACACTAATACTCGATGTCGAAGAGGGACAGATTCCAATATGTTTAGTGATAAACAACATGTCGTTTACAAAATAGACAATGTAGCGTTTTTTTAGGGCAAATAAGGACTACCGTATCCCTGTCTCCTTACTGCCAACCAACCTGCGCTGGTTGAGAATAAATCCTACTGATGTGCCTGAGACAAGGTGAAACCATACGTTTTAACACTTAGAGATTCCTTAGCCTACACTCCTAACAGTCCTTAGTTGCGCATGGAACAACGTTCGTCCTAATTGACACTTTTGTTTGAAGCATTCACTTGTGAACTGTCTTATGAAGCAACGAATGCAAGCAATGTGTACACCAATAAGAAAGTATCAAAACGCACTTCAAAAACAATCACACTAATTAGAATCGCTCATTGTCCTCGAACGAATATGTATATCGAACCATCATCGACGAAAAATGCGAATCAAAATTTTTATGAATGTAATTATACACACGTAACAAGATTGACAAGCGAGCAGTAGTGTGCGTGTCGTGGTATTGTGCAAACATCTCGAGAGCGGACAAGAGAAGCTTGTACGAGGTGCTTGCTCAGGCGAGCTTGTCAAACTTGTAGGTGGAGCGTAACCACGTCTCAAGTGTGCTTAGGTGGACGCTAAGGTACAGTCCTACTAATTCCTGCTAGTATGCTACAATCACGTATCGCACACAAGTCCGGCTCGTGTACCTGTTATACCTATATGCTAACACGTCATCTCCGCTGCTGATGACTGCCACAAACAGAGTTGATTGATTGATGGGAAATCGAATTCCATTGTCTAGTTAACTACGTTGCTGCCAGAATTGGTACTATTACAGCTTATTGAATTACCATCGCAGGCACTTCGAATACATTATACTACGCTGCGTGTATTACTAGGACTGTAACTTACGTTTAAAATATTTATTATTCACTAATTACTATCTATTATATTTCGTTCTATATATAAATTGAATTTACTATATTTACGTTTTCGTTTAAGTATATAACCCAATTGGCTAATTCGGTGCGTCGATAACGGGTCATCATTTTCACCTATCTTCATTAATTCATTTCGAAAAGATTTTCAACTGGCACTCAAAAAGCAAATGAAAAGTAGTACAAACAACATGCCGTCTCCAATACTCTAGATTATATTCTACAAATAGAGATAAAAATTAATATTGATAAGTATGCGTAAGAAACTTGTTCCACGGAGTGGGATATAAGAGTACTAGACTGAAGCACTCTCATATTGGCGCCGATTATAAAGACGAGCCGAGCCAGTGCTTAGTAGCCGCTTAACAACTTCGTGTAAACACCAGCTTCGAAACTTATTGGGAATATCCTGACAAACATCACATTTATTGGATAAACAAATTGATGATTTTCCAAATTACAATATTATTTTTGCTGACATTGATATAAAGACGGTATAAAGAATTAAACAATTAATGCAAGAATACGAGTTACACGCCTCCCATACATTTTATGTACACCAATGCTCATCCGTTGTGGAAACGTCCTGTCTCACTATAAATGGCCCTGTTCTGTCATGTTACAAGCATGATGTTGCAACCCATATTATTTCGCTATGACTGACCAGACCTACCAGCATGTGATCCTATTATTATGTACGCTTCTCACTCAAGCATATTATAAAAAACGTGTTTATTTACAAAATGGTTGATACTTTAGTTGGTATGTTTAATGAAACATTTAGTTTTTGTGTTAGAGTAGACTTTGTAGCAATGCATTTTGCACCTGTCACTACTACGTTATAGGTGCTATTTGTAGAATATATCGGTGACTAGGATGACAATATTTTAAATACAATGCGAATGTTTAGCACCCAAGAGAATCCTGATGGCACCGATAAACCTCGTCACATCCATGTGCTGGAGTCTGCTTCGGACCCAGCTGACTCGATCTACGGTATCGCTCTAATTGCTGCTGTCGGCACCGCTCTTACTATGGCTATTATCGGATTTGCATTCGGCTGGTACACGTAAGTAACTTCAACTACGATCACGTCACACTTTGTAGACTACACGTTTGAGTAGTATGTGACATTTACACACCATGACACTCCCACAGACTAAGTAAGAAAGCTAAAGCTGCCGCTGACGTGGACTACCCTGCATACGGAGTGACTGGACCTAACATTGATACCTCTGGCGACAGGAAACTTGCTCATTCGGCCCACATGTACCACTACCAGCATCAGAAACAGCAAATAATAGCTATGGAAAGGTAGTTACTTGACAGATGCAATACATTGTTCCCTTTCATGAAACGTTTGAGCAATTGATTAACACCCACCCGCTTGTTTCCTCACTTGTCATTTCATTAACGGACTGAAATATGGACTTTGCACAAATAACTCCAAGTTCTGAATAGTTTGCTTCAAAAATAAAAGCCCGTTATAAAGTTTCATTCGAACGAACAATTACAACAAAGAGCGATCGTTTCAACTTTTACCGAACATTTCCGTCGTAATTTGCTTTAAATTGTTGATGAATAGTTCAGTATTTCGTAAAGCCTTGGCTTCAGTCCGTACGGAATTGTGACGTGGTCATGCATTAGTAATTGATTTTATAATAGCTTAATTCGAACCATTGACTCAATTTTCAGTACCAAGCTTTAGAAATAATTTCTTTATATCATAAAAGGAACTTTATATGAAATTCGAGATCCTCATACGTTCATATGTTCGTATATTATTCATTTCAGAAATGGCTGCGAACACCGCAATGGATCTGTGTCTGACCCCGAATCTGAGGAAGAGAATGAAGAAGGAGATTACACCGTCTATGAATGCCCTGGCTTTGCCACGGTAAGTCCGCCAGATTTTGTTAAAGCTGTTTAATTTTGTTTAGTGAACTTTTACGATATGAGCTCTACTTAACAACCTTCGAACGTGATGTAGGTACTTACAATTCAGTCGTATGGTTACAAATGTATTTACCTTAGGTATTAAATTCTTATTATATACCTACGTATTGAACTGTCACTACATGTCTACTAGCGTATTTACAGTCCGGGAGTAGGGTGGAGGATACAATCTATCAAAAGGGAAAAACTTGACCTTTGCGTGAAGCTACGAAGTCAACTTTACTGAAATTGATACGGTACATTGACAATCCAGAATATATTTTAGGATGGGACTTATTCTGGTCATATTTCAAGATGTTTTAAGCAGTTTGAATATTAAACTTTAATATTAGTAGAACATTTTTCCACATAAAGAGTACTTTGGAGTCGATGAATATTTCAAAGTTACATTCAACCCCAATGCTATACTTGATGAACCAAAAACGTTTAAAATATTGCAGGACATATTCTAATCAATTATTTTTTGTCAAAGCTCTTATTCGGAGATATTGAATCGCATATCGCGGATGCTGACTACGGGACTTACGAGCTCGGAACATTCGTATAGGTTGAGTAGAAGTGACGTCATAAAGTAAAGTTCAATATTACAATTGATGCACGTTCTCTTTCTAGGATGCTTTGTTTTTATGCACGAGTATTTTGTGTGAAATGAAATAATTTTCGTCGACTATTGAACTATGTACTGAAATGGGGTGCGTATCCACAGACGGGTGAAATGGAAGTGAAGAATCCTCTGTTCTCCGAGGACCCGACCCCGGCTACACCCGGCAAGTGCGAGATTGTGAAACCTCAGCCCAAAGATTAAGTGACGCGCGCGCATTTGTTGCGCACCCTCATAAAAGCCTGGCGATCGATCTTCATAGTTTGCAATCTCTTCAGTATCTGTTTGATGTACACCCTTCAACGCCAAGGTTACTTATCCGACAGGATTATTACTCACCATAGTTTCATAGATCAATGTATTCGTACCAATGATGTTTAGTGTTGTAGGAATAGTGTGTTAATAAAGTGATGGAATATCAGGCAGTCCTATACGATGACAGCTTTCCACGTTATTAACTCACGACTCAGATTTATTAGATTATTTCGTCGATTTTATCTAGACAGTTTGTGTAGGTACCTTCAGTACAATGTTCAAGTACAGTAATTAAATTAAAAAAATTACAAAAAAAATAGAACGCACCATAAAAGTTTATTCTCGTTTTAATGATAAAGCCACAGATATATTAAATGATTATAGAATATTTTAAGCGCAACACCTATTGACTTGCTATTGACTTGTAACATATACTACAAACCCTACGAATTTATTTATTGTTTCATCTATATTATATACAGTATTGTAGTATGTTTTATGTACTGTACCTGCATTCTGGATACATGGTAACACATGGTAACAGTAAATCAAGTACCTTCCTAAAAACATTAGTTTGGTTTAAGCAAACCATATCAACTATACATAATCCTACTTATCTGTGAGACCAAACAAAGTCCAAATTATGGCAACTGAACCAACACTCGTGTTCCTTGATAGTAGGAATTTTAATCATTTTAAAACGAATGTGGCCTAAACTACGATTTTACAATTATACGTTTTCTAAATAGATTGAAACGAAACTAGTTTTTTAGGAAGGGACATTTCAACGTCTACTTGTGCACTGTCAATATATATTTGATGCCTACATAGTACCCCGATAATATCAAGTTAAAATAATTTGTATACGTTTTTAAATTTATCAAATGCAACGAGGACGACCTACAATGTCTCTAGGCACAAAGTAATGATCGATGCCATGCCTAATTAAGATGATACAGGAATAAATGTATATTTACATCATAGTGATTATTATAAAACCGTTTGCATTGTAAATAAGGTCAATTTGCTTTATAATACGTCATTATTTAAATACCTAATATATTTTACAATTTTAACTTGTTAAACCATATAGTATTAATATATATCCATTATATTATTGAAAATGCCAAGATTTCGAACCAACTATTGACCAGAAGCATTCCTTTGCATACCTGAACAAGTTACACCTACATATCTTCTACAAGTTTACCTATGTACCTACTATTGCCTAGTTGTTTATTATAATATGGAATAAGTAATATTTATTAGCTATTACTAAAGGAATCATGTATTATATACAACCGATACAACACAGAAACCTCACCGTAGGAGTTAATGTACTTACTGTTCATCGTTAGCATGACAGTTCTACATTATAAGTATTATAAATTACCTAATTATAAATCTAGATATCACTGTGTAACCTAAAGTAGAAAAAATCTTACAGATTAATATTTTGGTATTGTTGTTATATATATGTAAATGGAAAGGCCTGGCAAGGAGTGTGTGCTGTAGAACTGCGTAGCGATGCTGTGACGACGTTGAGAATGCTCTATTGCTGAGACCATCTATTAGAAAAAGTAATATTGTACCAAAACTATACTGCCAATATCACAAATATCTTTATAAGAGCATGTAAGAACAATTAGATAGGAAATTGAATTGCCCCAAATGATTGAATTTAATTTGAAGCTCTAATATTACTGCAGAGGATATTTCCAGTCTCATTTGGTCTATAAAATAAATGTTATTTGTTAATCATGTTAGATAATCAGAGACATATATTTATTATTCTCTTTCTGAGGACTTGTATTTGTTAGACTAGTAAAGATATATATATCAATTATTCCTAACATATAAATGGATGTTAAATTAATTGTCGTTATCATATTAATCACTTAATCTTGTAGCCAGTCGTATTTTGCGTATTTATTATAAAATTATATCGAGCAGGTATGACCTGGGTGTATCGAGTTATTTTTCGAATGTTTTATGTAACCTACGTATTTTATCTGTCAATTGTGATTGACTGAATATCTCGCCGTGCCATGCATCTTATTGCCAGGGAGCGTAAAAGCTGAACTAAAGGATTGCATTTCAAAAGAAGAAAAATGTGCTATTTCGTTGGAATATCGAATATGAGAATTATATATATTTCCTTCGCTTTTATTGTATTCACGATGAATAATCATATTTAATATTTCACTTGCCGATTAATATTTACTGAATATGGAATTAAGTAGGCATAGTGATGTACTGAGCGTTGTTGTTCCCCTGAATGTATCAATAGTTATTAAGATAACTACTTACTTAAACTTGGCAAAAGTATCAACACTTAAAATACTGTAGTAGCAACGTTTGACTCACTGTTATTCAAATATTTACAATAGAATATAATATATTATAGTATTTCAAAATTTATCTGTGTATCTATTAATGTGTATTAACCAGTCCCGAAAACATATGTATTTAGTTATAAATTGATTAATGTGATATATTTCATCATTATATATATGTATACAATGCAAGTATTGTTATTAATTCACCCTTACACTTACCCACTACATAAAAAACAGATAACTACATCTGCAAAGACTAATTAACTACAATTTACATTAGATATTACCCTAAAATATTGCTATAGTTAACCTGCAATAGCTTACCACATAAAAATATTTAGAAAAACGTAAAAATATAAGTAAAGAATTCAATGAAAATAAGCTAAAACAGTGAACAAAGCTGAAAATACCTCCCAGCTACCTTAACATATATGACAAAGTAAATAAGAAATTGCACATATTCTCAAACATGAAAGTATTTTTTTAAAGTTACAAAAGTGGCGCAAGCGCATAGGTGCAAGAGCGTCGGCGCAAGCGGATTGGTGCAAACGCATCGGTACAAACACTGGCAACGACGTCGTGCTCAACGTCAAACAACCAACCTTACCTATGACAGAAAACGTCAAACAAACGAAAAAAATGCATAATCATACAGCTGGAAATCAGTTAACCAAGTTAAAAAATCTTTTATCACTCTTAAATGTAGGCGTTCATACATAACAGTGCACATGTTCAATAATATCGAAGATATTTTTATAAAGGTACAAAAGCTGCGGAAGCACATCAGCGCAGGCGACGACATCGAGCTCGATACAATAAAGTAAATCGATCATCGACATCACCATCGGTCTCATGATGGTAATGTCGATGATCGATTATGCCTAGTTCGCTGCTGGACTACGTAAAGTCCTTCTTAAAATAAGGTTCACTATATAACCTTTTCACTTGGCAAGTGCGTTAACGAATGCAGTTTAAAAAAATCATATTTATCAGAGAGCACTATCACTCGATGTTTATTAAAAACCTTGTTCTTTAGGCAACTTATGCGAACTCTTAGCCGTAGAAAGAGTAGGGCCCAGCGCCCATCGGACATCGGTGCAGCTCACCCAAAATAGGCCTCGGCGTCCCAAAGTGTGTGTGCAGAGGTAACTCGTACGCTGAGGCAACTCTCAGGCGCCTAAAACCACCTAAATTGTACTAAGTAACAACAGTTCCCACCGATATTGTTAAGCCTAGTGGTACAGAAATGTACCGTCACCACACGGCTTATTCCAAGTTAAAAAATTTATTCAATACATTCACTGCACAACATCGTTTGTTATAAGCCTTACTTAACTTCTCATTATAGGTACGTTTAAGAAAATTAGCTTCCCGTGCCATAACACAAAGTGACGGCCTTTCAATTCTGTACATTTGCTCAACCGTCCGTACCGAGACCCTTTGCTCAATCGTCAGACTTGCAACCACCTGACCATGACACTCTACCAGTGGAGAAGAAAGAAAATGTTAAGTATGGTATATCTCCAGTATTTCTTATTGATGTATCCTATTAGATTAAGTTGTAAAGTAGTTTAACAGCCGTTGAAAGACTCCTCAATATAAACCGCTGTATTATTCGCTTGGTTCGTAGTGAACAATGTGTTGTCGGGCCAATACCCGCACGAAACAACTATTTATGTGATTCAATAATTTATTAAATGCACATTGTGATTTTCAAACGAGCAGATAGTATATTTTAGAAAAACCCACAGCCTGAGTGATAGCTAGCAATGTCTAATTAATAAAATGTATAAATAAGCTTTTATAGTTACTGGAAGTCTAGGCAGTACATACTTCGATGACTATTATTCAAGGTAGGATATATAGGTGAAGGTGTACCACAAACTAAATTAATATATAATTGGCCAAGCATAGCCGCAGGCAGAATGTTTGTAAAAATGTTTTTTAACCACCAATGATATAACGTGTACAATACAACGTACAAATTCCATGAAAAACTGTAATTATTGAAAACTATTAAATCTATTTGATTTTTTATGGCCACAGGCGTGGCCTCAGTGGCCAGGTAATTTCTAATAGCAAAAATGCTATTAGTTAGTATAGCTTTATTATAATGAGTCATTAGTATAGACTAGACAGGATAGACCTAATTATTGGGCTCTATTTAAATCTACTTTGTTTCAAAACTGAAAACTCCACTAATATTTTGTCTGAGTCTAGAACCTGACCTCTTATCTTACCAATGATAAATGCGAGAGCATTATCGTTAACCTCTAAAATACTATTTACAACTAGAACTTTGAAGCGTACCATCATGAAAATAAAGTCCAGAATGAAAAAGTGCTTAAAGAGTAACACGAAAAAATAAACGTTTCACTACCATTACGTCACGATGAATTGTAACGATACTTTACGAAACAAAACGATGTTCAAAAAATCAGAGAAATCTGAACTCAACAAGCTCACGTTACAACTTCAAGCCCAAATTGTTCACGAAACTGAAAAGCTTTCGTACGTAGAAAACAATATTTGAAATTGCTTTTGTGTAGCGCCTTATAATAACAATGTGTTTTGTGTACAGTACTGGTATCACCAATAACACTATAATAG